GAGTTCTGACACCCTCCTCAAATGTCACCTGCATGTGGTGCACAGACATCCATGCAAACAAAACAGATATGCCTAAAATAAATAGATGTCAAAATGTATTCTGAGGATCTGTACCACACATGGTTATAAAAGCAGGAAGGTACTGGCACTGGGGTGGACCAAGGACACAGAGGGAAGTCAGCACAAGACCCCTGCAAGGACAGTCACCAGGTACAGGAGAGGGCATGAAAACAAAACCTAGTTTCCTATATACTCCGTGCCAAGGCCCACTTCACATAAAATGAAGACTTAAGGATCTATGGATGGAAGGAAACCGCATGATAACTCATACCAGTAATCCTAGCACTCAGGAGGCTGAGGCAGGAGGAATGTTAGAAAATCAAGCCCACCCTGGACTAAATAGTGAATATCAGACTATCCAAGATTACACAGTACAATCGTATCCACCCCCCTCCTCAAAAAAAACCTAAAATTTTACACTTATTTTCTGTGTGTTTGAGGAGGGCGTATGTGTTCCCTGGTGTGCATGACAAGGTCAGAGGACAACTTTCTAGAGTAAGTTCTCTCCTTCTGGCAACAAACTCAAGTAGTCAGCCTTGGTGGCAAGTACCCACAGATGCTGATCTGTCTCACTGGCCCCAAAGAAATCATTCCCAGAAGAGATGATGCCACCTTTTTTTTTCATATTTATTTTATGTGTATGCATGAATGTTTTGTGTGTGTGTGTGTGTGTGTGTGTGTATATATATATATATATATATATATATATATATATATATATTCACCCTATGCATGTCTGGTGCAGTCAGAGGTAAGAAGGGGTGGGATCTCCTTGAACTGGGGTCACAGATGGCCACCATGTGGGTACTGGGAGGAGAACCCAGGTCCTATGAAAGAATAAGTGCTCTTCACTGCTGAGCCACCTCTCAGCCCCAAATTGTGTTTAAGACTTCCTTTTTTTTTTCTTTTCTTTTAATTTTTTTCCCCAAGGCCAGGATTCTCTGTGTGGCCCTGGCTGTCCTGGAACTCTCTTTGTAGACCAGGCTGGCCTTAAACTCAGCGAGATCCACCTGCCTCTGCCTCCTGAGTGCTGGGATTAAAGGTGTGTGCTCTCACCACACTGCTTGAGAATATTTATTTCTTTTTCTTTTTTTTTTTTGGTTTGGTTTGGTTTTTCGAGACAGGGTTTCTCTGTGTAGCCCTGGCTGTCCTGGAACTCACTCTGTAGACCAGGCTGGCCTCAAACTCAGAAATTCGCCAGTCTCTGCCTCCCAAGTGCTGGGATTAAAGGCATGCGCCACCACCGCCTGGCTTGAGAATATTTCTATTTAAAAGAAGCACTGTGTCTGTGGTGACCAACTTTATCACACACTTGGGCCTCTGCTAGAATCCTTGATTTTCAGCTGGCAAGCAGCTTCAACCACTCTCCATAAGGATAGCTAATTATTTAGATTGATTTGCTTCTTATCTATGTGTATATATTAAGTATATGCCCTGTTAGTGCGGATGCCCTCCGAGGCCAGAAAAGGGGACAAGAAACCCTGGAGCTGAGTTACAGGTGGTTATAAGCCACCTGATGCGTATGTTGGGAGCCCAACTCAGGTCCTCTGGAGAAGCAGCAAGTGCTCTTAACCACTGAGCAATCTCTCCGACCCCTAAAAGGGCTCTTTTTCTTTCCCAAGTCCTCATACTTTTTCCTCCTGCTTCAGTGCCATGAGGATCAGGAGTTTAAGGTCTCAAAGGAAAACTAAACCTGCCCGTACTGCAGCCATCTGAGGTTAGTACTGTTCCCAGCTCTCATCAGATCGGCTTCTGACTACAGACGACAGTGGTTAATGCAGAAATCTGTAACTGGTCCAAAGTAAGGGAGGGCTTGGACCAAAACAGCACCACTATATTGCCCCCTCCAAGACTCATGGGACATCAGACATCTAGGAAAAGGGAGGAGAGAGCATGTGAGAGCCAGAGAACGGGGAGATGTGTATCAAAAAGAAGTCTCCTGAAGCTGATATCCTGAAGCTGTGGTTATCTGCACAGGACTGACACAAGATTAAGCTCATTGTCACCACTTCTTCATGAGTGGGAGAAGTGGGTCCCGTCCCTCCTTTCAGGCAATTAACTGGAGAGGATGTAGTTTTCTTCCGTGGTACAGGCACTGATAAGTTAGCCTCGATAGAGCGAATCGTCTCCTGCCCATGGAAATCTCCTGCGGCACCCACCAACAGAAGCCTAAGTGTAGAATGGGCACTAGTTGGGAGAAAAGGGTTCCAGCAGGAGAGGGAGGGGCATAAGAGAAGGAGGCTGAGGAGATTAAGCAACTAAACTCCATTATATAAATGAAACTGCCAACGATGTCAAAGGGATTTTAGAAGAGGAAGACTGATGACTTCAAAGTAAGTTTCATTATAAGGAAAGTGTTGCCCTCAAGCCCATCTCTCCCCTCAAAAGTGAGAGAAACAGACACAGAGTTGATCACACAGGACCATAAAGAACTTACTGGCCAGCCACGTGGTGGTGGCACACGCCTTTAATCCCAGCACTTGGGAGGCAGAGACAGGAGGATTTCTGAGTTCGAGGCCAGCCTGGTCTACAGAGTGAGTTCCAGGACAGCCAGGGCTACACAGAGAAACCCTGTCTTAAAAAAACAAAAACAAAACAAAAAACAAAAAAATAACTTACTGGCCATTGATAACTGAATGGCTGAACAATGCTATGTTTACATTACAAGGTATCACGAGTAGGTTTAAAAGAATGAGGTAAAACAGAAGACTTTATATGTCAATTGGAGGGAGTCTGATCAGCTTGAGCATGGTGAACATGGCTCTGGCAGGCGTTGCTCTTCTTCTTGATTCCTTCTGCCTTCCTAAAAACCATTAGATCACATTCCAGAAGCTGGCCCCCAAGGTCAGTTCCCTTATTCATCCACTTCCTCCTCCTAAAGCTGACTAATAAGGTCCAGTTACCAAAGTGTTGAAATCCAGCAATCAAAAGAGGCCCTTTGGCTCACCTAATTAACATGCCCAGTTACAATTAAACACCTTATCCTAACATGGGGTTTCCCCCTTCACCTTTATAGACCTCTATTTTCCAATGTGCCACATCTGTCTGGTTTTATCCAGAGGCAGTCCTTTGTCCATTTCCCCTGCTCCCTCCTCCTCTATCTCCTGTCATCTTTGTCTCTTATGCCCTGCCTTCTGTCCGTCTGGGGCAAATAAATCTCCTTTGTGCTGAGAACTTGCTCTTGGGGTCCTGAGCTGGTACTTCTCCTTTTATTAATAAAGCCTTAGGCTTATCTTGGTAGCCTTCAACAAAATGAACAAAATACACGAGTGACGCCGGGCGGTGGTGGCGCACGCCTTTAATCCCAGCACTTGGGAGGCAGAGGCAGGCGGATTTCTGAGTTCGAGAGTTCGAGGCTAGCCTGGTCTACAGAGTGAGTTCCAGGACAGCCAGGACTACACAGAGAAACCCTGTCTCGAAAAACCAAACCAAAAAAAAAAAAAAAAAATACACGAGTGACTGAGAATGGTTCCCAATGTCAACATCAGGCCCCCGTATATATACATACTCATGCATGTGTGCCTACACACACATGCAAAATGATACATACACACAAGTGCACCACATGTATACACACACACACACACACACACACACAGAGTGGAAAATGGAAAAGGTCAAAAAAAGGGAGTGTTGGCTTCGATTGTTGTTCAACACATTTGATAGATAAGGAAGCCAGGGCTCAGAGGGATTCAGCACCTTGCCTGTGGATGCACAGCTAAAGAATGGTACAGCTGCCGGGCGGTGGTGGCGCACGCCTTTAATCCCAGCACTTGGGAGGCAGAGGCAGGCGGATTTCTGAGTTCGAGGCCAGCCTGGTCTACAGAGTGAGTTCCAGGACAGCCAGGGCTACACAGAGAAGCCCTGTCTCGAAAAATAAATAAATAAAAAATAAAAATAAACAGACAAAACCAGAGTCTTAACTATATAACCCTGTGGTAATGCAAGGTAGTCCTCATGCTTCTCCCTTTATTGACTTTTTTTTTGTAACTCAGGATGGCACAAACCCTCCGTTCCTGTTTCAGCAACCAGTACCAACTCGTTTATTATTTCTCACAACTGTCGTGCATATTGCACTTACCTCAAAACTCTAAATTCCCAGTGTGTAAATTGGGGGCTCTCGTGTTTCCATGTAATATTCTCCGTTTGCACCATTTCTTTTTTTGTTTTGTTTTGTTTTGTTTTTGTTTTTCGAGACAGGGTTTCTCTGTGTAGTCCTCGCTGTCCTGGAACTCACTCTGTAGACCAGGCTGGCCTCGAACTCAGAAATCCGCCTGTCTCTGCCTCCCAAGTGCTGGGATTAAAGGCGTGCGCCACCACCGCCCGGCGTTTGTACCATTTCTTAAAAGACAGGATCTCACATAGCCCAAGATAACCCTGATAACTATTCCTCTTATCTCTTCTTAGTCAAGTATTATGACTACAGGTGTGTGAGTAATCACACCTGGAGTACTCATACATTTTACCATAAAAAAAATATCATTTTGTAAAGAGCTAGGAATAGGGTGGGGGAAAGAAAGTAAAATTCCACTCCCATCTCTGCCCCGGCCAAGACGATCTCAACTTTTAAGATCTTTTCTCTTCCAGCCTAGAGTTTCCAGAGCCACAAGGTAAACAAACATTGGAGAGCCACTCTAGCCCACCTCAGAGGACTCGCTAGCCTGGGAGGTTTACCCTTCTATCTCTCTGTGGGTTAACGAGTTCAATGTTTGGCCCGCTTCCGTTTAGGGAGGGGCAAGCCCTTTCCCAGATTCCTTCAGCTAGTCCTGCCTTTGGGCCGTCTCTTGTGCCTCCAGTTCCCTAATCTGCCCCCATTCTCGTTCCATAACTTCCCTCGGAAGACTACTACTGTTCGGATGCTTCACAGGTCCGCCAAATGGGTGAGAAGAGTCGTGGCTGGATTTTCTGCCCAGAATGAGTCACTTCCGGTTACAGACTCCCTCCTCCGGAAGTAAGACCTGATGTAAACAGCAAAGCCGGGCACCAAAGCCCGGGAGGTCAGAAATTTGTGCCGCAGGCGGCACCAACGGCTGGGGCAGGGGTCGGGGAGGGGTGATCAAGTCGGCAGAGGCGACGTGCATCTGGAGCAAGATCCAAGGGTTGGTCACGGTCGTGGGTTGGGTGTTTCTACTAGGGGTCTTGACAGGTGATGGATGGCTGGGGATATGGGGTCTTGAGTCGGTGCTGTCATGGAAAGGAACAAGACTTTTGGGAGAGGGTGAGGCGTATCAATTAGAGTTCTTGGATAGTGTGGGCATTTGGAGCAGAAATTTTAAAAGGGCTCTTGAAAGTCAGTGCTATCCAAAGTGTGGCTCATGTAGAATCAAGACCTAGGTTTTACACCAGAAAAAGTAGATTTGAGATCTTAGATGATAGGTAGGAGGTGTGCCTGAAAAGATGTCTTGGAAGTGATGGGGTTTGAAAAAAGGCTGAGGTTTCTAGGGTAGGAATATTTAGGGCAGGAGACAGAGCACCGGCATTGGTAGGTTGAGATTTTCCTAGGCAGGATTTTTTTGGGGAGGGGCTGTTTACTGGGTGAAGGTCTTCAAAGGGTTGCTGTGCCCTAGGGCAGAACCTTCAGGATATAACATGGAGATAAAAGGGACAAATTTTAGGGGCAGGGGGTTCATGAGTAACTTTGGTTTAGCTGGGGGGGGGGCATGGGTAGAGAGTATAAGGAATGGAAGTGTGTCAAATGTGAAGAATTTAGAATATCAAGGGAATGCCTCGGGGTTAGGGTGGGTGGGGATTGGTCTTTAGCACTTGAGTTGAGGGAATGGAGAGGGTTTTCAGGCTTGCTTTACTGATCAGTTAGCAAAGTGAGAAAAGGGTTTGGGGAAAGTAAGTTGCACGGGAGGATTAAATGAGATGCCCTGGAGGCAAATAAACCTCCAGCTGAAGTTAGTTAGAATGGCTTGAGGAACGGAGTTGTGTGGGTGATGGGCCATTCACAGCTGTCTCCTGAAGATGCAGGAAACCTTAGCTCTTGTTCCACTATTTACTGACAGGTGGAGTTGGGTGCCGGTGTGAAGATGAAAAGCTTGTAGAAAGAGGTTTGAGGTCCTATCAGACGTTAGAGCCAAGAATGGCTGGGAGGGAGGAGGTATCATGGGCTATCCCCTACCCCGTTACTTCCTCATGGGTTCAGTACGGGTTGGTGTTTGTGGCCGTTGTAAGTCTATGTCAATGTAGGCCGGGATACATTCTGCCTGTGGTCTTGGTTTAAACAGATACTCTGAGGTATCCTCCACTTGTTTTTGTTTTTTACAGTCTGGCAAAGAAAAGTATCAAAATGGGGAGGAAGCCAGGCGTGGTGGGACACGCCTATACTCCCATCACTCAGGAAGTGGAGGCTGGAGGACTGCTGGGAATTGAAGGCCAGCCTGTGCTACATAGGGAGTACCAGGACAGCCAGGGCTACATAGCAAGACCCTATCTCAAAACAAACTAGACCAAGTGGTGAGGAAGAAGAAATCATTTGGGGGACAGAAGTTGTAGGACTTAAGAGAGGACGCTGGAGAACTCTTCCCAATGCTGTCTTTTTTGTGCCTAGGAAGGCAGGCCTGAACCATGACTCAGCAGCCACTTCGAGGTGTGACCAGCCTACATTTCAACCAAGACCAAAGTAAGCTTATGATCTCTGTGGAAAAGAGAGAAAAGAAGGGTCAGGGATGACTGGGAGCCCCAGCATATGGAGTCAGACTGGTTCCTTCTATCCCCAGGCTGCTTTTGCTGTGCCATGGAAACAGGCGTACGGATCTACAATGTGGAGCCACTGATGGAGAAGGGGCATCTTGGTGAGTGGCTATAGCACTGGGGCAGTGGGCAGAAGGGCTGATGGTGGGCATTGGGATCTATGTGTGCTGACACCCTGCTCCCTGTCCAGACCACGAGCAGGTAGGCAGCGTGGGCCTGGTAGAGATGCTGCACCGATCCAACCTGCTGGCCCTGGTGGGCGGTGGTAGCAGCCCCAAGTTCTCCGAGATCTCAGGTAAGCCCTTTCATCCTGTGCTTGACCCAGATTCCTCAGATTCCTCACTTCCCACGTCCACCCTGAGGCACTGGCAGACAGAGTCACCCAGCACCTCAGAGTCCCACAGTAAGGCACAGTTTGGAAGTCATGGATATTACAGCTTAAAAAGTTTGGTCTTGGCCGGGCTGTGGTGGCGCACTTGGGAGGCAGAGGCCGGTGGATTTCTGAGTTCAAGGCCAGCCTGGTCTACAGAGTGAGTTCCAGGACAGCCAGGGCTACACAGAGAAACCCTGTCTCGGAAAACCAAAAAAAAAAAAAAAAAAAAAAAATTGGTCTCTTAGTATTTTTTCAGACAGGGTCTCACTATCTAGTTCCTTTTAGACCAGGCTGGTCTCAAACTCACGAAGTGTATTGGGGCTGGAAGTGTAGCTCAGTGGTAGAATGCTTGCTTGGTACTATCAAAACAGCAAAACCACTTATTGCCTGTCTCCTAATTGCCATGTTCTCAACAATGGGGCACTACTGGGAGCCTACTATTCTAAGTCCTTTGCACACAAATACACATTAATTTGAGAGAAGACCTTGTGTACCCAGGTATGACCTTGAATCAGTCTATCTCCCAAGTGCCAGGATTACAGGCTAGTACCTTCACACCAGACCTTATATTTAGTTTTGTAGTGTTTTCCTTTTTTCTTCCTTTCTCTTTCTTTTTGTGTTTCTTTTTTTTTACTTATTTATTTTTGTGGAGCAGGGCTTTTTGAGACAGGGTCTTTCTACATAGTCTTGACTGTCCTGGAACTCACTACATAGATGAGGCTGAACACAAACTCAGAGGTCTTCCTGCCTCTGCCTGCTAGGATTAAAGATGTGGGCTACCACCCCTGGCTCATTCTGTGTGCTATGGATAGAACCCAGGGCTTTGCACATGTTCTGTCACTGAGCCATACTCCTGGCCTCCTCCTCATTTTTATTGAGGCTCAGCTAATGGACTTATCCAGGAGCACACAACTGATAGGGGTGCAAACATTGGAGCGTCTCTCTTACGCCCTCTTGGCTTGAGTCTCAAGTGCCATCTTGTTTTAAGGTCTTTTTTTTTTCCTTATTGATCCCACCAAGACATGGCAAGAGTTGTCATAGGTGAGTCACAGAACCCTAGAATTCATCACCAACGTGCCTGAGGGTATAGACTGGCTTCTGAAGGCTGAAGTAGTTGCACAGGGGAAGTTGCAGGCCTGAGTAGGAATCCTTTAACTGTTTGTTCTTGTGCTGTAAGGTTCTTAACCATGTTCAGCTCATTCGAGTCTTGATTTTCTTATCTCCAAATGATATAGCTGTTCTAGAATGTGCTTTATCAGAGATCTGGTCCACAAGTGTTCATGCTGTGTGAGGGGAACATTGAATATTTGGTGAAAGCTGAAGCAAATGGTTTGAGGCCCCATGAGGACTAGGAATGGGCCCTATGTCACCCAGTCTGCCTTTCACCCTAAACCTTCGTCTTGCCAACCCACCCATCTGCCTAGCAGTGCTGATCTGGGACGATGCCCGAGAAGGCAAGGACTCCAAGGACAAACTGGTGCTGGAGTTCACCTTCACCAAGCCAGTACTAGCTGTGCGCATGCGCCATGACAAGTGAGCTTGATGTAGACTGGGGACAGGGGCGGGGGCAGGAAGTTCCCACAGCAAGTAAGGTAACCTCTCCACCCCACCCCCACCCCCCCACCCCACCCCCGCTCCCTGCTGCTGCCACTGCCTCCTCACTGCCCTGGCAGTTGCCCTGTCCTCACAGCCCTCTGTCATGTGTGATGTCTACAGGATTGTCATTGTGCTGAGGAACCGCATCTATGTGTACTCCTTCCCTGACAGTCCTCGAAAGCTGTTTGAGTTTGACACTCGGGACAACCCCAAGGGTGAGAAGACCCAGATATGTGGGTGTAAGAGTGTGAGGCTGTGGAAGAGGCAAGAGAGGAGGAGATTAGAGAAGGGACGCATCCTGACATGCTGGGGGAGAGGCTCTGTGCAAGAGATGCAGTCCTCTGAATCCCACGGTTCCCCTTCCCTACCCCCAGTCCTGCCCCACATGACAGCAGAAAGCACTCATTGAGAACATGGCTAGGTGTGTCCATGAGCCCTGGGCCTCCAAGGATCACTTAGCAGCTTAGAATCTGTTGAGGCCATGGAGAGTAGAACGTAATGCAAAACCTACCCCTGTGAGGTTGCTATGGGTACCATGCCACGGAGGGTTAAAGTCTGGCCCTCCCTCATCCAGCTCTGTCCATTCTGAGACTCGGCCTTGCCCTGGCCTCTCCTTCACCTGCCCATCCCCACTTCATCCTCACAACTTAGGACTGTGTGACCTCTGTCCAAGCCTGGAGAAGCAGCTGCTTGTGTTTCCTGGACACAAGTGTGGAAGTCTGCAACTTGTGGTGAGCCATCCAGTGGGCAAGGGTGGAGAGCCGGGTGAACTGGCTCTCTTTGTGAACATGTGGTCCCTCCTGTGTTACGACCCCCAAGCCCAAACCGCTCCCTCCTATCCCAGGATCTGGCGAGCACAAAGCCTGGTACTTCATCTGCTCCGTTCACTATCAATGCACATCAAAGTGATGTGGCCTGTGTGTCCCTGAACCAGCCAGGCACTGTAGTGGCGTCGGCATCCCAGAAGGGTACCCTTATTCGTCTTTTTGATACCCAGTCCAAGGAGAAGCTGGTAGAGCTTCGAAGAGGCACTGACCCTGCAACCCTATACTGGTGAGCACAGGGCGTGTGTGGTGGGATGACTATCGTACAGCACGAGTTATCACGTTGGACGTCATTGCGGGTCTGTCTTGCAGCATTAACTTCAGCCACGACTCCTCCTTCCTCTGTGCTTCCAGTGACAAGGGCACTGTCCATATCTTTGCTCTTAAAGACACCCGCCTTAACCGCCGCTCTGCGTGAGTATCTTCACCCTGTCTTACCCCAATCCCTCTGGCACCGTGCCATCCCTGGACTTATCAAATGCTGCCTACAGGCTGGCTCGTGTGGGCAAAGTGGGACCTATGATTGGGCAATACGTGGACTCTCAGTGGAGCCTGGCCAGCTTTACTGTGCCTGCTGAGTCAGCATGCATCTGCGCCTTTGGTCGAAATACTTCCAAGAATGTCAATTCTGTAATTGGTGAGTGACAGCAGCCCTTTGCTTTGGGGTACTAAGTGAGTAAAGGGCTACAGGTCCCCTAAAAGAATGTAAGGGTGATCAGAGCTGGAGGAAACTGGACCGTGTGGCTCAACCTCATTAGTAAGGGGTGTGGCGCTTGGGCAAGGGCCTGGAGTTAGACTGTGAGTCACAGTGGGACACCTGAGAGGATTGGGGTATGTGGCTGGGCCTCTAACCTTTCCCAACACCTCAATCCTCCCCAGCCATCTGCGTAGATGGGACCTTCCACAAATATGTCTTCACTCCTGACGGAAACTGCAACAGAGAGGCCTTTGACGTGTACCTTGACATCTGTGATGACGAGGACTTTTAAGAGTCCTGGACAAGGAACCTACAGTAACCGATAGCCGAACTGAGCCTTGAGGGTGTTGAACCAGCCAGCAAACATAAACAAGCCGACACTCTGCATTCAAACACTTCCCTCAAGCACTTTTGTGACTGAGTGCTAAAGGCTGGGACAGCCTTGTCTGTCCCTGGGCCACCTACTCTGCAAAACACCAGGGACCCAAAGGGATTATACTAATCCAACCTAAGGATTTAAAAAATAATGGTTACCAAGAGATGTCTCTGATGTATATGAATAAAAGGCCTTTGAATGGCATTTATGACTTGACCTCAAGGGTGGGGCATACTTTCCCAGGAGCAATGCGACCTTCTAGGATCCTGTCAGGAAGTAGAATCCAGCTTCGGATCTGACTTCCTATTTTTAGCATGTTCGTTGTTGAGTCAATGCATGGCGTGGTGCCCCGCCCAGGGGTAAAGAGAAGTTCGAGTTTTGAGCCGCTCCGCCGCCGCGTGGCGAGGCTTACTTTCCCAGCAGTCTCTCCTACCGGAGTTGGTAGGAGGTGGTACTTTGTGGTCACGTTCATGTTTGCGGCTGCGCAGTATGCTTACGTTGCTAGTCGTAGCCTCCCTAAACTTCATTTCCCAATGTGCCTCACGGCGCTGTGAGTGATAACTGGGTGTTGTAGTCTCGCCGCCCTTCGGGCTGGTCCAGCAACCCGCAGGATGTCGGAGGTGCGGCTGCCACCGCTGCGCACCCTAGACGACTTTGTCCTGGGGTCTGCGCGTCTGGCGGCTCCTGATCCAGGCGATCCACAGCGATGGTGTCACCGCGTCATCAACAACCTCCTCTACTACCAAACCAATTACCTTCTCTGCTTTGGCATCAGTCTCGCTCTGGCCGGGTGAGGGAGGGAGGCAGCGATTGGCTGAAGATACTAGCGGGACGCAGGGTGGACTTACGGGTCTTTGAGGATAAGGGGGATCTAAGGGAAATGTTAGACCGAGTAATGTGAACTTAGTAGAATATGAAGGTCTGGGGGGCATGGGTGGAAAAATTTGATGGAGGCAGATCTTTGTTATAAGGAGGGTCATGGAGGTGGGATGGGGGAGGTGTCTGGAGGAAAGACACAAAACCTGGGTTAGAAAGGAGAGGAGGGCTGAAGAGGAATGTGGGCTAGGATGTGGACTCTGGACTTAAGAACTGATAAGAGGATGTGAGAGCCTAAGGTCCAGCGATCTGACTGCTAGAGCAGATCATGGGAGCCCTGGAAGGGTTAAGACGGAGGTGGAGGTGTAGTAAAGACAGGTTGGAAAGGGAGCTGGTGGGGAACCTGCTCATATTGGGCCCAGAGGGAAGACCTAGAGTTGAGAAGCTTGAGGCCAAAGACAGCCGATCTAGAAGAGGGACTTGGGCAGGGTTATAAGGGTGGGACTGAAACCAAGAACAGATCCATTCAAGCAACTGGGGGAGGGTGGTTCTATACGGAAATAGGGTAGTGGGGGGGGCGTTTGAAGGAGATGACACCTGAAAGGTGCCTACGTCGGACTGAAGGTCCGGATGGGGGATCTGCCAGGGTTAAAGTCAAAGTAGAGGAATGTGGGGCAGATGTAGGGATACTAGAAAACTCCTGCAGGTCTAAAGTCAAAGGCCAGAGAAGTGTTGGGAGCCTAGGAGCTCTAGCAGGATGGGAGAGTCTGGTCGAATGCAGGGCCGAGGAATTAGGAGTCTACAGGAATTGCTGGGGGATGTACTTGTTGGAGACAGGCCTGGTGAGACTATGCAGGGATGCTAATTCTGGAGACAGAGAACAAAACTCTTGGGGTCCAGGATTGGGTGCACATTGAGGCTAGCTGAGTGCTCTTGTTCCTGCAGGTACATTCGTCCACTGCACACCCTCCTGGGCGCACTGGTAGTGGTGGTGGCCCTCGGGGTGCTGGTGTGGGCTGCTGAAACCCATGCAGCTGTGCGCCGCTGCCGTCGCAGCCACCCTGCTGCCTGCCTGGCTTCAGTACTTGCCATTAGCCTCTTCATTCTCTGGGCCGTGGGCGGCGCTCTCACCTTCCTGCTCAGCATCACAGCGCCTGTGCTTTGTGAGTCTCTATTCCCCCTGTATAGCTGGGAAAATGGCCAGCTCATGCTTTGAACATCAGGCCTGCCCGGTCCTGGTTTCTTAGCTAAGAGGAGGACTAGAAACCCTGGAGGACAGGCATGTTTCCATTAAATGTGTCTTCCTTGACTCCGCTCCTCTGGCAACATCCCTCAAGTACCTTTGTGGGTCTCCCAGGGTTAAGTGCCTGTCCAAGTTCCAATGTACTGGGATGTCCTTTCTGGCTACACCCCTCCACAGCAGGCTTTGAGAACTCACCACTCAATTAGCCTGCCTCTGGGTCAATTCCCCATTTCTTGGTATCGCCTACAGTGATCCTGCTGCATGCTTCACTGCGCCTGAGAAACCTTAAAAACAAGATTGAGAACAAGATTGAGAGCATCGGTCTAAAGCGGACGCCAATGGGACTGCTTCTAGAGGCACTGGGACAGGAGCAGGAAGCTGGATCCTAGGACCCTGGCATCTACACCCTGGATCTAGAGGACCCCCCACCCCATACCCAAGACCAAACCTTTAACTAGCCATTAAAATAGGTGCCAAGAGCCCTCTGGCCTGTCCAAAAAGAGATACCTGTGACTGCTCGCTCACTGCAGCCCTAAACTAGTCATCTCTTAGCCTCCAGCCTATTACCGAGGGACCAAAGTCTTTCTCAGTCCTGAATTTGAGACTCAGTCACCTACATCCAACCTTGAAACTGGGTTTTTAAGCTAGAGCACCTGTGGCTAATCTCAAAACTGGACCCCAAGATACTCCTGACCCAAATGTGGGACTCACTGGTCTTCCATACTTCAAAGCTAGGCCCTAAGGCAAGACATTCTCAAATCTTGAGCCCTAAAGATTTTTCAGACCCCACACAACTTGGAACATAGGTTAAGACCCTTGCCAAATCTTGAGCCTAAGTTCAAGTGTCCTCAGCCCTGACCACACTGAACTCTTAAACTCAGATGACCCGAACCCTCAGTAGTCCCAATAGGCTCCCTCCAACTGTTTAGAGGTTCTCTCCCTCCCTCACAATGTTCTCAGTATCAAGGACCAATGTGTGGGGCTGGCTGGGGATAGCCCCGATTGGGAATGGGGCACATATAATAGTATTGCTGCAACAATAAAGCCTTTGAATCTCAAGCTAGTTTGGCCTCCTGTGTGAAGTCTTTGTACCTTTCAATGAACAACCCAGTGGCTGTCTTCAGGTCTGCTGGACACTACCTGGCCCGCTTTATGTATAGGCTCTGAAATGGTGACTACTATGGTCCTCAAACCTGCTACTTCTGAATTAGTTACAACAGAGGCATACACAAATGTATACTATCATTCTGGATGGTCTCTTGTTGTAAGTAGGCTAGGGCTATAAGTGCAGGAAGGCAAAGAAGCTGCCCCATCTCACAAAGTGAAGGAAGTCAAAACATGACAGTTCAACATGGTAACACATGTAATCCCAGCTCTGGGGAGGATGAAGCAGAAGGACTGAGTTGTGGCCAGCCCTGGCTACATAAAATCTATTTCAAGGAAACTTAACACTATTATAAACTATCTCCAGTTGGTTTTCTTCCCATAAACATACATATATGTATATATATACATATATATTCTGGCTTGGCATGGTTGTACATGCCCTTTATTCCAATACAGGTGGATCTCTGAGTACAAGTACATAGTAAGTTCCAGGCAAGCTAGGGCTGAACACTGAGTCCCTGGTCTCACTACATACATATATGTATATATATATATATATATATATATATATATATATATATATTAATATAATATATATATGTATATATATATATATGTATGTACACACACACATTGAGTTAACTAACAGACACAGATTCAAGTTCAGTTTATACATTTATTATAGAAATCCCCTTCCAGTGTGAGTAGTGTCTTGGGCCCAGATCCATTGGTACAAAAAGAAAAATTTAAACACCAGGTAATGGGGGTAGGGGAACCCCCAGCTCCAGAAAGTCACAGACAATATAGAAAACACAGCTCATGTGGATTCGTTTAAAAAGTGGTAAATAGAAGGAATGCCAAGGACATGATGTGGCCTGTGGCCCATGGCCAGATGTCACCTGAGGGTTTTACTGGCATGTACTACTTGCCAGGTTTAACCACTGCAGCATCCCAGGATGTGACATACTCAAATGGCTCTGTTTCTTGACAACCTCTTGTATGGCCTTCTGGCAGGGGAAGGTCATCACAGAGGCTATGGGCAGAGACAGAGACATAGCTCCTTCAGGTACCCCACTTACACGTCTATCCTTCCAAATGTGGACAGAAGCCCATCTGCTCGAGGACTCTAGCGGGAGGAGGCAGGGAGTTCTGTTCACAGCGGTCTCCCAGCCCCGAGACTCTATATGGTCCATTTGGTTGAGGCAGGGTGGTGGCTCTGGAATGGAACAGGCTGGGCATGGGGACAGGAATGAACCCAACCAGGAATGAGCTCACAGTTTCTCTTTTATAAAACACCTAGTGCTGGGCAAAGACAGTGAATACTAAATCACAACTGTAAACAGAAATGGAGGAAGGGGCAGAGTCCCCATACCATTATCCCCCCTCTTTGAAGCTAGCTGGGGCCCTCCAGTCCCCCAGCACAGGATGAGAAGAGAAGCAGGGGTATCAGACATCTTCCTGGGCCAAAAAGAAGCCAGGGGTCCTGTGAGATCAGGCAGTTGTCCTTCAGGACCAAGAGCAACCCTATCTCAGGGCTCAGCGAGGTTGACTGTGTGCTCCTCAGACTGGAGTCTGTCCAGACCGACACAGGGCTTAGGGTCAGACCAATGTCCCTGGGGTCTGGGTATCAGAACTGGAAGACTGCTCCCCCTCTATCGTCAGGTCACTTAAACGAGCGCTCAGCTCCGGGGGATACAGGAAATCCGTGTAGTATCTTTAGAAAGGACAGCAGGAATCCGGAAGACAGGTAGGGAAGACAAGGTAAGAGAGGAAAAGACAGATAGGACACACACACAGAGAGGAAAAGAGCTTGTTAAAGAGGTGGAGACAGGTACAGGACAGCACTTTCAGGTTCTCAAGCATGGAGTAAGCTTAGAAGAGAAGCCAGGGAGAGAGTACAAGCCCCTTCCTCCCAGCGCCCTGACTTCGAGGCTCACTGTCAGCTGCCATACACTAGGGAGAATAGAAAAGCCCTTCTAAAGCTTGGGAAAGAACTCCTGCTACCAACACCCAAGATCCTCCTCACCAGGACCCCAAGGACTAATATATG